GCAAAAGTGTTTTCAAGGGTAATAATAAAATGTTCAATCCTCAGTTGAAAGGTTAAAAGCATTGAGAAGAAAACGCTCTTGTATGTTCACCACTAAATCTATTTCAAATGCCTGCAGTAAATATGAAAATAGTTATTCTCCCCCCCCCCACACACACACAAAATCTCGTCTTACTGCGATCATGTTATTAAATTAAATCATTTTTAAAATTGACATTTAGAATTGTGGCAGCTAAGGGGCTAAGAGCTCATCTTATTTTTCTGAAAGGTATTTGCTGGACCGATTGACCAGCCAGGTCTCCAGACTTAAACGCTATGAAGTATATCAGTGAAACTTTGTAGAAGGCTATTGTAACCATCGGGAAAAAAAAAACTCAGTTAAACCATTTGTCACTGGAACACTCCAACTCTTTTATTTCCTATCACGATATCACAGAGTGAGGCCTGCATATTATTGAGAATAGACTGGGAGGAGACTAGGGGATGCCATCCCCCAAGGCCTATGGGTATGGGGTCATCATAGTTCACCCAATTCACTAGTTATAAATGTGCTTTTCTCACTATGTAACTTTTTAGTTTATGTAACAAGTTTGGCTTTGTGACATGATCTTATTTCAGCAGATCTACTAAAAAATTATGAACCTACCTTATTGAGGAACTTATTTGAACTTATTACTGACTTATTTCCCACTCTGAGATTATGCCAATGGATTGGAATATTAGCATTTTGAGTCCAATTCACAAATTAGTCTTCTTTGTATAACTTATAAAATTCTATCCAAAATTTCATTTCTCAGGCTGTTACCATTTATTGACTCACAAATAGGAAAATATCAATGTGGATTCCGTGCTGGAAAATCAACTAAAGAACAGATATTTTGTCTCTGTCAGATTTTAGAGAAATCAATGAAAATTAACATATCATCTTGCTATTGATTTCAAAGCTGCTTTTGATAGTATCAATAGAAATTATCTTTTTGAAACAATGAATACTTTTAAAATACCTTCAAAACTCATTAAATTGACGAGACTTACATTGAACGATACAAAGTGAAAGATAAAATTTCTGGGGTCTCTGTCAGAAAATCTTGACACATTTACAGGTGTTCGACAGGGAGATTCTCTCTTCTGTCTTCTTTTTAATATTGCATTTGAGAGAGATATTCGTGATTCAAACATCAATACTAGTGGTCACTTTTTTTACTAGATTTGTGCAACTACTTGCATTTGCTGATGATGTTGATATAATTGCTCGTTCCCTGCCTCCCCTGAAAGAGGCATTTCTTGTCCTTGAGGTGGCTGCAAGGCAAATGGGCTTAGTCTTAAATGTAGAGAAAACATATTATATGTTATTCTCAAGAAACAGAGTCCCAGACCCCTATCTTGAAATAAAATTCTTCTAGATTTGAAACAATAAGGAGTTTTATTTAGGATCACTTATAAATATTGACAAGAGAATGACTCATGACTCCTGAAATAAAAAACCGACTAAAGAGAATAATCGGTACTAAAAAAAAATCCAAAAAGCATCCCACAAAAAATAATAAAATCAAATCCATCACTAAAAAAAATTTCTTGTTTTACTCAAATTAAAGTAGTTGTAAATGGGTTTCTCTTATTTGATTTTAAAGTTCAGCGTTGATGCTAATGTGATAAATTTAGCTGGAAAAATATCCCCCTTCCCACTATCAAAAAATGTTTGTTTAAATTATCAAAAATACTCCTTAAATCTAATTTAGATTTAAAACAGAATTGTATGAAATATTCAAAAAAGTATCCTCCCTCAAGAATAGTTATGGTGACTTGCCCCTTTAGTTACCCCTCCTGTGGGGACCAAGTCCATTACAAAATAAAATTTCCCATGAATTCGATCCATTTCCTTCAAATGTTGTATTTTGCTATTTAAAATTAATTTTTTTTAAAAATACAGTCAAACCCCGCTATAGTGAACCTTCAAGGGACCGAAATTTCTGTTCACTATATCCGTTACGCAGGCAATTTAACTAATGTTCCCAAACTCCTCCCTTTTATTACACATTGTTCAAATAAATGACTGAAAAATATTATGTAGTAGCAAAAAATGTGTTATTTTCAATTACTCTTTGCCTTGCGTACAAAAAAAATTAGTAATCTTTAGCTGATGAGCAATCCTCAACATCAGAGATCTGGAAAAACTTCCCGACTCTCAGATAATTTTTCCTGAATTTCTGTTATTCCGCTTTTTAAATCTGTCTAACCTGCTATCTGTCTAACCTTCGATTGGTGAACCACTTCAGTAATGCTTCTTCAACATCCTTGTGATCTGCTTTTCTCAACTTTTTTCTGCCATCTAAATTTTTTTAATGAGCAGAAATTATTAATTGCCTATATTTCCATGTGTTACAAACCACAGATTTGGATAGTTTATATTCCCTGCAAATATCAGCTTGATTGCACCAATTTTCAAAATTATGCCCATTTTATCATCAATGGAGAACGTTTTACGTTTACTGCTCGCCATAGTTAAATTTGAGACGCTTGTTTGCAGGATTTTTTTAAACTGAACCGAGAGCAAAAAGCAGTTGAAATGAGGGCCTTATCAAAACATATTAGTTTCCAACCCTTTGGCCAATAACGAATAATTGCTCATTCCCTCTGACATAAAATGCATATTGATCTGACTGGCATCCTCTGCCTGGGTTGGAAACATCTGCTTTGCTTGTTTAGGGATGGGAAAGTGAGATAAAAAAAAGCAAACAAGAAAAAATGCTTATCACTACATTCCCTTCCATAGATGGTTTTAAAAATGTATTTTTTTTTTGAAGTAGTAATTTCAAAAAAAAAAAAAATCAGTTGAAGACAGAAAAAAGTTCATTATAACCAACTTCCTAACTTTTTTGGCTCACTATATCCATAAAAAATAACATTATCCGCATATAGCAAGGCACGGGAGCGAACATTTCGTTCACTATAGCGGGGCGGGGTTTGACTGTAATTCAAAAATTTGAATACTAACATTTTAAAATGTTTAATTAAATAAAAAATGATTAAATGAAATAAAAAATTATTATTGGTTTGAATGAAATTAACTTTGTATAAACAAATTTTATAATTGCGTGGGAGAAAAATTTTTCCAATTTCCTTAAAAAGTTCTCAAGATACGGCGAAATTCAAAAAATGTAAAATTAACATAAAGGGGTCCAAACTTTCAGGACCATATTTCCCAGATATCCCCTATATTTTGGGGACTAGAAATCATAATTCTTCAGAAAAAAAAGTATATTTGTTCAGAGTATATTTTTGTCTGTTTTCGTGATTTAAAATATCATACGCACTAGCTAATTAGAATATCTGAGGTTACCTCCCCATGTAAGATTGAGTCCTAGTACATGAAAATCTGATCATTAGGATCACAAGTCATTCAGGGTGATTTTCTTCTCCCCTTTTGCGCACTGTACAAACATACATGTTTTCTTTAATAGTTAAGCTAATAGTTATAAACTAAAATTTTATAACTAAAATCTAACAATTTATTGAGCTCAAAACAGTAATTTGAAAATGACACTTGCGTAACTGGCTTACAATACAGCTAACATGACTTAGTGCACAAAATATTATATAAATACGTAAAAACTCACTCTTACTCAGAGTTTATTCTATAACACAAGATATTATAAAGACATGTTTAATGTGCTTTGAAAGGAAGTTTTAAGTTCAAAAATGCAAAAAAATAAATAAATGGTTTTGCAGAGCTACAATTTTAATACAAATAATAATCTTTCTCATGAAGTATTTTAGCAAAATTAGCTCAAATAAGTCCGAAAAAGAAAAATTTGATTCCTTTTTTCTTTCAGATGCTAAATATCTTAGCACTAATTTTGGATTTACAACAATCATCAAGCTAAAGCACAGCCAAAAATCAAGCTCTCGTCTCAGCAAGCACGAGAGCTCATTCTCATTGTCTGTAAAAAAGTTTGTCCAGAGAACATTCCTGTGTTCGATTTCGTTACTTTAACCAGCAACAAAACATACTTAATACATGCCTAAGAAGGTACAAAATGGCGTAATCTTAATTACATATTTTGCTTATTTTACAGCGCCCTGATCACTATAGTTAAATTAACCAAATTATTGCCAAAGATTATTTATTACTAATCATTATTATTGCTACACAATCATTGATTTTATAAATGTTTAAATTATTTATTTTAATCTGTTTGTTAGGATTCATTTATTACAAATCTTTTTTATCCAATATTAAATATTAGTTGAAAACAATATTGCTTGGTTAATTCGAGCATAAAATGCAGATAATTAAAAATTTAATTTAATAATTTTATGTTTTACAATTTAATAATTTTAGTTTCTCTGAATAAAGGCTTTTTCTCTAGAATTTTTATATATAAAAAAAAATAAAATTAATCATGTTCTGTTGGATAATTAGTGAATTTGTCTTTAATAGAAAATTGTGTTTATTATATCTGTTTTATGTCATACATTTATTATGAAATACCAGGTTCACGAAAAGACAATATTTATGAACTCGTACTAAGGCAGTATATGGCTAAAAACAAAAACTTTTTGTTAATTTTCACTCATATGGTTGAAATCGAAATTTTAAAGATTGAGACTATTACAGCAGTAGAAATATTATATATATTAGTATAATTTTAAATAATTATATATTATTATTATTTTTAATGATTATAGCATAATTTATAACAGCTTCCTTCAAATGAAAAGCTTAATAAATCTGTAGCTGTGTTGTTTATCAAAAATAGTGATTTTCTTGCTTTATGAGAATACACATGTTATGTTTTCAATAGATTTAACTTATTTGTAGATAACTCTCACTTGAATTGACAAAAATGTAAAAAGGGAAGTTTAAAAATGTATTTAATACTAAAATACGAAGAAAAAATATACAAAGAAAAAATATATATTTGTATCATATTACTAAAAAGGTTTTTTAAGTAATGATACAATTTAACCATTATTATAACAAATAATAAAAAATCCATATTGTGGTCTTATACATGTTTTATTAATGTTTAGTTTTTACAATTTAAACACTTTTCTTTTTAATGAAGCTTTCAATGCAAAATATTGATAAAAAAATGGTACATATGTTCGTATCGTGGTTAATGAAGCCCAGCTTGCCACAGCAAAAAATATACACATGAAATTTTTTTTCTCAATTAAGTAGTTCTATGCACTGCTTCTTATCAATCATCATCAGGGTCAACATTTCCTGCCTCTCTAGCTTTAGGTCCTCCAGCAGGTTTCGACATAATAATCTAGAATGTTAAAAAAAATAATAATCAGGGCAAAAATTAAAATGAAGTTAAAAAAAAAAAAAAACTTTTAACTTTTCATTAAAAAAAAAAGAAGTTAATTTATTTTGAATTTTACTTCTTACACCTTGATGTAAGCAAAAAGTTGTAAGTATGCTTAAGAGGAAACACATTAACCAAAGTCCCCTTTCATTGTATATTATAAAATATAATTTAGTCCCATTCTAATGCTTAATACATTGTAAGTACCTAAATTTGGCTAATTATATAAAAAGAAAAGCAATCATAGTTAAATTACTTCATAACACTCATGTTAAAACATAACCAAACACATTTATTTTTTACATTTTAAAGTGTGCCCGAATTCAAATTATTACAAATTTACAGTATTCCGAGATTCGTAGTGGGCCAAGGAAAAACATCAAGGCAATATTGGTTTAAAAAATGAGAACATTTTTGGAACAGTATACACATTAGACTACTTACAAAAAGGGAAAACCAACAAATATATATACATATAAAACTAGCTAATTTGAGTATAAAAGCAAAATTTATTACAAAAGAATAAAATACTTTTATTTTCTGAATTGCTTTGTTAGAACTAAAAGTTTTAACAATTTCTAAAAATATTTTAATAATGGTGTAATGAACATTTTCATAATAGTTTTTGATCAACATCTAGAAAAATTTTACAGACTGTTGCATAGAAAAATAAACAGCATCAATTAATATTTCATTAAAATTTATAAATGATTTTAAGAGTTCCTTAAGTCGATAATTTTAAAGTAGGTTCTAACTCTTTTTAAAAAGGAAGTACAGAGAAAATGTGCTTAACATTTTGGTAAAAAGTAATTTAAGATGAGCTTTTAATTTTACATAATTAATGTTATGCCGATAGTAATCGAGCATTTTTAAAATAAAAGGAAAATAATCAATCATTGACAAACAAAATTAGACTCTATAAGATTTGTCACATCATTAGCTAAACAATAAATAAGCATATGACACCTGCATTCATCACCATTAAAATTTGATGCTGAAAGTTTTTTCTTATTTAATTGTTTATTAAATTCAGTAAGTTTGATACAATGAATCCTGTTGGAACAAAACTAGCAAACAGCCCACAAAATTTGAGCTGTTTAGTTTTCTGACTTTTNTGTTGCAAAGGAAGGGGCAAGATATCAGCTCCTAGGTTTTTTTTTCTTGCTTTAAAAGACCAAAAAAAAAATCGAGTTAAAGGGAGTAAAATTCGAGTAATCGAGAATAATTAACATGAAATTGAAGATAAAAGGGTCGGGACTTCATAAAAAAAACGAGTTATAGTAATATTCGAGTTATAGCGAATTGACTGTATATACATAAAACTAGCTTATTTAAGTATAAAAGGAAAATTTATCACAAAAGAATAAAATAATACTTTTATTTTCAGAATTGCTTTGTTAGAACTAAAAGTTTTAACAGTTTCTAAAAATATTTTAATAATGGTGTAATGAACTTTCTCATAATAGTTTTTGATTAATATCTAGAAAATTTTTAGACTGTTGCATAGAAGAATAAACAGCATCAATTAATCTTTCATAATATCAATATTTCATTAAAATTTATAAATGATTTTAGAGTTTCTTAAGCAGATAATTTTAAAGTAGGTTTTAACTCATTTTGAAAAGAAAGTACAGAGAATACGTGCTTTACATTTTGGTAAAAAGTAATTTAAGATGAGCTTTCAATTTTACATTTAGAAATTTTATATAATTAATGTATTTTTAAAATTCAATGAAAAAATATCAATAACTGACAAACAAAAAAATTCGACCCTACAAGATTTGTCCCATCATTAGCTAAACAATAAATAAGCATATGACACCTGCATTCATCACCATTAAAATTTGATGCTGAAAGTTTTTTCTTATTTAATTGTTTATTAAATTCAGTAAGTTTGATACAATGAATCCTGTTGGAACAAAACTAGCAAACAGCCCACAAAATTTGAGCTGTTTAGTTTTCTGACTTTTGCAAGCATTATCAATAAATATAAGGAAAAAAATGTCAAATTGAAAATCAAAATCTTTCGATTCTTTAAGTCAATTACTATTTACTTTTGAATTTGTAGAAAATTGGACATTCTCAATCCTTAAAAAATTATGATCATTAAGACCAAAAGGTCAAAACTTCAAAACAGACAAAGTTAAAAATTGTAATGGTAACTTACAAGATCAACTTTCAAAATTGTTGTTGCAACGTTTGCAGCATTTTTTATAGCCCAATGTTTGGTAATGTAAAGATCTAAAATTCCAGCCTCTTCAACATTGACCACATGTTGTTCACCCTACAACAAAAAACACAATTTAATATAGAGTGACAAAATATCATACATACAACAGTTCAAATATATGCAAAATTTCTAGGTTGCATGCATCAAGGGTGATAGCGGCACAAAGTGGAAAACCCAGAAAATCTTACGTGCAATAGTTCAATATGAAGCTGTCAATCTATGAGCCTTACAAGTACAACTTTTTGAACAAAGATTTATGATTAAATCACCCACCAAAGTAGAATATTACAACTTAATAGCAAGCAATTTAAGAAATAACTAAATTAGCTTTTACATCGATTATGATATTGGATTTTAAAATCATGTGAATATGAGTAGTGATATTGGCTTTTAAAAACACGTATATGCAAATTGGACAGATTGGTTTTTAAAATACAAATTATCATGTTCGAATTACAATGTGTAGCTACTGTTATACGAAATATTACATTTAAATTAAAAAAATAGAAGTTTCATCTAAAATCATGTGAATATGAATTGCATTATTAAAGGATGCTGTCACATTCAAAATAGCAAAAATCCGCCAAATCAAAACTGTGGAACAATTGGCGAATTTTTTTCATTTGGTGGAAGAATTGTGGGTATGTAAAAGTCTCGTTAATGAGATTCAGTAAAAGTTTCCAAACTTAAATCTCCGATTGAAGAGCTCCATGAAAATTACAAGTTTCTACTTCTCAAAAGTGTCCCGAAATATGCAGATTTCTACGAAATTTGAGGAAAAAATCACAAGCCTCGCTTCTAGTTATTAGACCGAAAAGGATGAAGTGAAAAACCCAGAATACAATCTCCTCTGATGTTATGCAAAGTAACAAATAAGATTTTTATACTTTGAGCTAAAATTTTAGATGCCAGCTACAATTAGGGCGCTGAGTGGAACACCGGAGGTTTGTAGGCATAATATTTATAAATAAAAAACACAAGGGAAACAAACCAATATATACACACTCTTAACTTTTTAAGAATATAAACAAAACTTGTAAATCAGTTCAGGCAAATTTAAAAGAAAATTTGATTAGAATTTTGAGAAGAAAAAACTTATAATGAAACATATTAGCTCGGTAACTAATTTTTCTAACAAAAACTAAGCAAAATTTGAAAAATACATACTTCAACATCAACACCAATACTTCTGTTTCCTTCCTGGTGAGCTGCATAAAGCTTGGAAATGACTTCGTTTGACTGTAAAAGAATAATAAAGTTAACCTTTTATGTATCTAATTACAAATATATATGAAGAAAGAAAGGATTCATACTTTTAATCCAGCATTATCAGCTAATGCTTTAGGCAAGGATTCCAGAGCTTCGGCAAATTTTTTGACAGAGTATTGTTCTAAACCAGGGAGAGTCTTAAGAAAAAAGATAAAAATTTATTATCAAAAGAATATTAATATTTAATTTATAATTTTCTTTTATAAAAATGAAAAACGCTTTTTTACCTCGCCGTACTTGGTTATTTGTTTCGCCAGTTCAATTTCCGTAGCCCCAGCACCAGGAACTAATTTACCATCCTATAGAAAGAATGATACGAACTCAAAAACATTTTTGATGCAACAAGTTTAAAAGCAAAGTTTTAAAATTCAGTACCAAAAAATACAAATTTTTTTACACGATGTTTAAATAGTAGTAATAACAAAAGCTGTTTCAATTAAAAAATTATATAAAAATCTGTGTTTTTAATATATTATTTTTATCTCTAAATATAATTTAAAAATCTAACAAATTAGTGATAAACCTTCAAATTTTTCCCAAACATTTTTTTTAATAGGTAAATATTATTTTAAAAATGCTATCACTTTTTAAACTTTAGTTATTTTTTTATTTCTGTATTTGGCAGATTGAGTTTTAAGAAAACGAACAGAACTTGCTTTGTACTACATAATATAAACAAAAAATACCTATGTATTTGTGTGCAGGCATGTAACTAACGTTCGGTCAAATATTCGGCAAAGCATTGTTTTAAAATTTTTTTTCTTTCGACCAAGTTTCTTAGGGGGAAATTTTAATAGATTTAATACAAAAATAATCTAAAATCATATTTCTTACTGTGCATTATTAGAAATAGTTTTTACACATATTTGTTAAGTTCCAAAACTCGCTAATTTATATTCTGAAAGTCACGGAAAAGCGAAATTTGAAGAATTGACACTAAATTACCTAATACTGAACCATGAGTTTTGTAATGCAGATTTTTCTTTCTTTTAATTATAACCAGGCATGTCAGTTTCGTTTTTTCAACACTTTATGATTTAAAAATCGAGATTCAATCTAGTTTGTTTTTCTGTTTTAACTACAGCGGAGCATGTTAAGGGAGCATTTCTAATATACTTTAATCTCTTATCATAACCTTTTTTTTGTACAATAAGACAGAAAACTTATTCCATAGAATACTGCGATTCTCAACGTTAAAGTTATAATTCAGAACTAAAATTTTTTTTCCTGTTTCTCTTTTGATTTCTAATGAATGCTATTCATATATGGTCACTTTTTAAAAAATACGGCAATGTAAAAAAGATTTTTGTTTTGGTTCCTATCTAGCCTTTTCTTTTTCAAAACATTTATGTTTTTATAATGACATGGCAATTAAGAGGGTTTCCTTTAGACTTTAATCCTCACTTTTTCTCTCTTGAAAATACAGGAATTGGAAAACTAAAATGCTTTGCTATTGTTTATTATTTTTTTTAATAGGCATTTTTAAGATAGTATTGCATTTTCAAAAGCATTTCTAATAGACATTATCTCTTTTAATGTTTAATGAAAAGATTTTTTTTCTGGAAAATAATTTTAACATTCAAATTTTGTTTTAAGAATTAAAGTGGATATTTTTCTCCCTACTTCTTTCTTCTTTTTTTTTATTTTTACAACTGTAAATCAGTTGTTTGTATCTTAAATATCTATTAAAGTTCCTAATTCTATTAAAGTTTTCTTCTCTTGAAAACACATAAATTTTTCGCTTCTTTTAAGAGCATGTTTTTTTCCCCAATTTCAGATGTAATTAAAAAAAAATTGTATGCAAGTTGTGCAAAAGAATGAACAGCAATAATAATGTATATGTAATCAACATACAATACAAACCAGATGCAGGACAATAAAATTAACAGACTTTAACAACTAACCTGTGATAGAGCTTTAAAATTATTGACACCATCGTCAATGGCACGACTCACTTCATCCATTAGACTTTCAGTAGATCCTCTAATGACAATTGTTGATATTCGGGATTGTTTATTATCTGCAATAAAATTTTTTTGTTTTGTTTAATATTTAAATTTTATTCCAATAATTGTTACAACATACAAATATAATACAACACTAGAGAAAAAAAATGAAGATTTGTTCAAGATTTATTAAGATAAATAAAAAATAAAGAAACATTGAAGTTACATAAAATTCTTTAGTACTTATGTTCTTTATTTTTTTCTTAAAAGGAGAGAGACAATTACAAGCAAATAGTAAACAAGATACAGTATTAAAAATCTTGAAGAACAATACCTTGCTTAAATATGACAACACTGGTGTCACCAATTTCAGCCACATACACTTGATTACAAAAACCTGTTTCTTCTTTTGTGGGAGTTACCTTTATAAAATAAAATATTCAGAAATGGAATATTCGTCAAAAAAAAATAATATTTAAAATGCGATAAAAAATATTGAAATATAATAAACTTAATAATCAATAAAGAAATTATATAAAATAATTATTGTTACCTACTGGTTTCAATTTCCACAAGTCAAAATAAATTGCATACATAAATAATATAACTCAAGTAACAAAACTTAAGTTTGAGTGCCATCATAACTGTTCTAAAAACATATCTAAAAGCCTATCCAAAATAAAAATACATACAGGGTATCTGCTACATTTTGGATTTTCAAATTCGTAAGTTTTCAAGATTTTCCATGACTAATTCCAAGAATTTTTCACAATTTAAAGAAGTTACTATTTTCTCCGACAAAAACGTAACAATAGATTTAAAAAAGCATTATAATAACATTCATTGAAATGATAATTATAACCAAAACTGTTATACTCTGCATCTTCATATTTATAGATTTTAAATTTAAAAAACAGAGTAAAAAAAGAGTTGAAGCAATAAAATAGCTGAAATAAAAATACAAAAGCAATTTTTTTTTTTCTCTGCAGAATTACATTTTAAAGATACTTTTCTTGTTCATCAGAAAGGAAAGAAATACTCCTTATTTGTCTGTTCTCATTTCGAAATAAAAAATAAATAAATAAAAATTCTTAAATCACAGAAGTTTAAATGATAATTCACTCTAGAAATGTTTCTTTCATTTTTTGAAAGAACACCATAATTTTTAAAGAACATAATAAAAACATTTTATATTCTAATAAAATATGACTGCCAGTAGTGATTTTTTAAGGAATTCAGATATTTAGAACACTATGAAATTGAGGTGGGGATTCAATTTAAAAAATAAGATTTTTTGGCAACCTAAATCCATGACTTTCCATGATTTCTTTTAAAAAAATAGTAAAAATCATGACATTTCACGACAAATTTTGTTCAATACTGAAATTCATGACTTTCCATGTGCACAGATAACATGTACTTACCATTTTAGGTAAGGCAATAGCTCCAACAGTTTTACACAAACGCCTGACATCGAATTTGGAAGGGAGACGAACTGCCATCACTTTGTATTTATTGAGATAGTGAAGAGCCATATCACCAAACTTTCCACCAGACACTACTACATTAATACCAGCATCAACAATTTCCTTTACTTGCTATAAAGATAATGAAAAAGTAATTAATTATTATCGTGTTATTTACATTTGGGTGTACAAATACAGTAACTGTAATATGAATTACACAATTCGCATACTAAAATGAATTAATACAGATTATGAATTACGATAAAAAGTTTTTCTGTTAATAAATATAAAGAAATGATTTAGTTGAATATTACAAGTGTTTGATAAAAGAATGGCAAAAAACAGACATATTTTTAATCTTATAGAACTGAGTAGAGTACCCTAAATATGATCTTTAAATACTTGAAGAGAGACATGTTATAAGTTTTTTTTTTTTGGGCATGAAATAAATTTTTTTTATCAATCTACTAATTTGAATAAAAATCATTTTTTTCCTCTTTAAAAAAAAAAAAATTTTCACATTACATGTATAATATTGTAGTAATGAATTTGGTAAAATTATGAGAAAATCATTGATGAGTCTAAATTTTGGTTAAAATTAATATATTTAATTTAGATTTAGTCTCAACATTTATTCAACAAAAATTTTAAATATTTTAACATTTAATTTTTGCAGCAAAACAAAAAAGAAAACGAATTATGTTCTTATTTACGAATATAATAACACTCAATTTAAAATTGTTCAAAGATCTAAATGTATTAGCAATATGAAGACAACAGTAAGTTCGATATTTGTTGTAACAAAATTTTTCTCAGATCTTCAGTAATAAAAATATATTAAGCACAAACCTGTTCTAATAATTGTTCTTCTCCTCTACTATAGTTCAATAGCTCGTTAGCTGATTTAATCAATACTGTGCCCTAATAAAATAAAATAATGAATAAATTATTTTGTAATATGAAGTTTTGCTATATTTATTTATTTTTTTAATCTCAATATGAAAAATCATTGAACATTTTACAAAAAAAAAATCTATATATATTTGAGAAGAATACATACATACTAGATTATAAGCAGGAAAAATGAAGATAAAGAAATAGTATAATCCGGCAGATTTGAAAATATCGTTTTGTGCAAATTAAAAATAAGCATCTTTAAAAATTATTTTGTACCATGCTTTAGTATCCTTTTCTAATTAGCGATCAGTCATATCGAGAAAACATTTTTTTTACAGCAAAAATGCTAAGATTCTTTTTTATGAGATAACCGAAAGGCTGAAAAAAGACTAAGTCTGAATCGAGAGTAATCAGTGGACTGTCTCAAAATGAAGTCTTAATTGTTAATGATTACCAAGGGTTTTAACAAATTAAACAATCGTTAGAAGGATTGACTGCAGAAATATCTCATATTTTACCACTTCATATTTACAGATATTGAAAACTTTTAGTGAAAACGAGGAATTAAACAAAAACTATGCAAAATTAAAAGCACTAAGGATAAACAAATGTTGTCTTTCCAACAGATGAAAGTGTGCATCCCAGCTTTTCCTCTTAAAAAATATACACAAGATCGTCCTAAAAATTACAACAGCATAAGAAAATGCCTGTAAAAGAATTCAAAATAACACACCATGTTGAATCCTTTAAAAAATTTTAATAATCACAAATGAATTCAGGCAAAAAAATAAGGTTACTTAGAACAGACAATAAACTTAAACATATTTTCTAGAACAGGGGCCGAAATAAAATACTCACAGCAGTAATTGACTTTTATATCAGATATATTTAGGAGTTCAGCTAGTGCAGGGTCAGATACTTTTAAAGGAAAAAAAAAAAGTGTCTTTTTTCAGTAGCCTATGTGTGAGACACTGTAGTAGTTTACACAAACTTAGGGTCAAGTGCCGGTTACTAACTTATGATTAAAAGGGGCGTGAAAAAAAGGAGAAAACGATTCTAAAAAAAGATTGCCTCAATTAAAAAACTTTCAGCAATAATTCATTCTACTGTGGAAAATAAAGACATGGCTCTGTTTTTAACGCTAGCTCTTTATCTTCTGGTCACTTTTTCTTTCTTGAAAATNTTATATCAGATATATTTAGGAGTTCAGCTAGTGCAGGGTCAGATACTTTTATAGAAAAAAAAAAAAAAAAAAAAAAAAGTCTTTTTTTAGTAGCCTACGTGTGAGACACTGTAGTAGTTTACAAACTTAGGGTCAAGTGCCGGTTACTAACTTATGATTAAAAAGGGCGTGAAAAAAAGGAGAAAACGATTCTAAAAAAAGATTGCCTCAATTAAAAAATTTTCAGCAATAATTCATTCTACTGTGGAAAATAAAGACATGTCTCTGTTTTTAACGCTAGCTCTTTATCTTCTGGAAAATGTTTTAGATTTATCTTTTGAAACTGCAAGTTTTGACATTGAGAAGACTAGTTTTTCTTAACTCATTTCTAGTGAAAGTAATTTTTAAAAAAATCAGATACAGAAAATTCTGTGTTGGACAATTACAAACTTTAAATTTTAATAACAATATTTAAGTTAAATTACTAGCAATTCCTACTTCTTGCTAGCAATTCGACAACAAAATTTTGGATGTATTCAGTTTAATAAACTTAGGATTTCTCCATTCAGAAAATTTTTATATTTCTCTATTGCATTTCATTAGATTATCATGAAAAACTTAACGCTTTGAAGTTTCAATTAAATTAGAACTGTATACATTAGTATACAGTTTTAATTTCATTATAATACGTTTTTTTTTTAAATTTATTTATTTTTACTTAGACTAATAGCCATATAGAATTATAAAGTTTTTAATACATAATAACACAATAGATTTAAGATGATAAGCAAGCAATTTCTTAAGATTTTCAAAGCTATAATGTAGAAGATAGTTACCTTTGTTTCAGTCTGTGCGAAATCAAAAGGACAAGTGTAAACAGCTACTTTTGCATCAGTAATTTTCTGAATGTCTCCTTCAACCAATCTTTTAAAAACCATGCCTTCAACAATGGTAGAAGAATCGATTCCACATCCCTTAAATAAGTAACTAAATGTAAGAAATTTATAGCAAGCTATTTGGTTAGAGTCAATAATGTATTACACCATCACTCCAAAACATTAATATTATTAAGTTATTAAAAAATTTTGTGTTAAGGGGAAAAAAAAAAAATACTTGAAACCAGCTACCCTGAACTAATGATTTTATTTCTCGACCACTTTAGGTAACGACTGACATTTTTTATGAAATAATTTTAGATACTAAATTTCAACTAATTTGTTAACAATTAACACGTCTTCATTAACATGAGAGTGCATTATTTTTCTTTTAATCAGTGCAACTAGTCTGGAAAAAAAATCATACTTATTATGATTTTAATTGAAAGTAAGCATGGATTTTATAGAACACTGAATTGAAAGTGGTTTCACAGTAGACAGAATTTTTACTTCAAATGTGACATAGAATATTAAGATACTATGACTATAAGTCATAGCTTTATACTGAATTTTTATTCTAACAGAGCTGTTTGTGCTTTGAACTGGAAGATTTTAGATTTTGCTTCTTCTTGGAAGAAATAAAGAGCCTTGGCAACCAAGACTTAAGTTTAAACGTATAGTAGACTGTTTCTTTTATTTAAACTTAATCCTCGTCAAGTCTTGGTAATCACAGCAATAACTGTCGATAAAAGGATATAAAAAATGCAGATTTATAATGGTATTAGCATATATTAAGTGTGTCAAAAAGTTTTTTTAATTCGAGGTTTGTGTGTCGAAAGTAATAACAAAATTTCATTATTTTTTTCTACATGTAATAAAATTAAACAGTTTGTTCTATTATATGTAGAGGTCAAGTAAAAAAAACTATGATTTACAGAATTTGTGTTTTAAATTGTATAGGTGCAACAAATACTTGTAGCCAAGTTCAACCCGGTGTCTCTTAAATACAATAATAAAATATTTATACAAGGAAAGTTGAAACAATTAATCAGTTTAATCTTACTTGTCATATTTTAAATTAAAAATAGACTATGATTTGTTATAAATATAAGTACTTATCACTTACCAGAATTTTAGTAACTCTAACATTATCAACATTGAAATCTGATTTCGGCGGTTTGACCAAGACTAAAAATTATAAACAAGATAACAATTAAGTACATATCATCCTTGTATTTATCTAATATAATTAAATTACTATGAAATATTTCTAAATGATAAATAACTTACTGCAAGCTTTAGCGATGAGTCTAGCTAAGAAATCCTCATTGCCATAAGCTTTGCTCATTAATGATGCTCTTATACCTTTCACTGCATCATCTTCATTAGAACAATCTTTTACTTCTGTGCACATAAGATCTAAACAAAATGTCATAAGCAATTTTAAATAGGCAAGAAACAGCAAAACAAAGAATGCATTTAAAAAATGATTAAGAAAAGGTGCAACCTATCAAGGGTGGTTTTTGTTTAATTTCAGTATCATGGAATATGAAAAGAATCAAATTTAACATATTTTTTTTTCAGGTCTTAACAAGAGAATGGATGCATCTCTAAATAGATCATACAGAAGTATAAAAATTGAAAATTAGTTTTTATTTCCATTTCCTTAATTTTAGAATTCTTTACACTTTTGACGCTGAACGTTTATTATTAATTGTGCATATATTATAGAAGCATAACTGTCACACACTTTCATTGAATTATGGAAATCTTACCTCTTTTTAAAAAATTACAATAACAATCAATGTTAAGTTTATTTAAAAGAGAGAAAGCACAAAAATAAATTTGCATGAAATTAACATTAAAACATTAAAGTAAAAACATAAGATGGTGATAGATCGGAATTAAAATCACTGATACTTACTGGGCAATATCTCAAGAGTTTTATCTGCTGCTAGTTCATACCCTTTAATGATTTCAGAAGGAGCTAATCCCTATATATGGAAATAATCAAAATAATAATATTAGCAAAGGTGACCTAACGGTGCAGAAGATGGTATATAAAAGTATTTAAACCAGAGTAGAGGGAAAATTTCCCCAGAAATGTGGGTGTTGCGAAAAAAAAAAAAACCCTACCTACTTCTCTTCAAAAGAAATTCACTTAGACATCTAATAAGAATTTAAATACACTTTATTATCAAGTTTTAAAACTTTTTTTCTTCTTCATAAAATTGATATTGAAAACATTGTGTTTCTGATTAAAAGATAATTAAACATTTGTTTTCATTCCTNTACTTTTTACAAACACTACGCACCCTGTATCAAGTTTTAAAACTTTTTTTCTTCTTCATAAAATTGATATTGAAAACATTGTGTTTCTGATTAAAAGATAATTAAACATTTGTTTTCATTCCCTCTCAACAATTCAAGAACATAATATTTTCCTTAGACCAGTTCAGCCAGTTAAATTATAAATGCAATTAGCTGAAATAATGTTTTTTTTTTTCTAGATGCTTCCTCTCAGAAAAGGGCACTCACTTAACAGAAATTTTTTTTTATCAAAATGAGTAAATTCATGTAATAACTGAATTTGATCCTCAAGAATTTTTAAGTTGTCTTATACTATTTAATGTGTATATTTCAAAAAAGTAATTTTCCCTCACCTAAATAGGAGAAAAATTTGTACAGTACAGAACCCGTTATCCGGAAATCAGAAAACCGGAAAACCAGAACGAAATTCAATAAATTTTCCCGCCATTTAAAAAAAAAAAAAAATTTTTTTTTCCTCATAAGATTTTAGGATTTTTCTTTCTTTTTTGAAAAATGCTCACCTTACCATCATTTTGGAAATAATCGTTATTGTATTACTTCAGCGATTTTTCTTGTTTTTAAGATTATTTCCAAATTTTTTTTATTTTAGTTGGGTTTAACAATAAAAAAACGGCTTTTTGTAGCGATTCCGAAAACCGGAAAAACCAGTTATCCGGAATAGCGATGGTCCCTATCGTTCCGGATATCGGTTCCCTACTGTAGTTCAAAAAAATAATTAAAGGCATTTATTTAAAAAATAATTTTAAAATTTAAAGTCACTTAGAAATGTATTGATATACCCATTGAAAAAAAGAGAAACTTAAACCTATTAACACAGATAATTTTTGCGTGTAATTATTATTTTAGGAGTTAATTTTTCTTAAAATTGGAATATAAATAAAAAGGCAGTGTTTTAAGGGCTGAAGGCTCTTTTTCTCAAAAAGGGTGCATTCATGGGGATCAAAGGAGAGGTAGAGCGGTGCGCCCTTCCAAAAACACTTAGGGAAGAAACAGGTATATATTTTAATAAATAGTTTTTTTTTAAAAGAGAAAACCAGTAATTTTTTTGGCCAAATTGCTACATAAAATTATAGATATTTGGTAAAGAGATATACATATTTGATATTCTCATTTATACAATCATTCAAACTTTTGATTTAACTGAGGATAAAACTTAAGGTCTCACAGGCGCAGAGCCTGACCAAGGCAGGGGCATAGAGGGCAGCTGCCCCGTGCCCCGTAACCGAATAGAGAGTTTTTATTACATTTCCTTCCTTAATGAACTTTTTTAAAAATAAAAAAAAATCAGTACAGTGTAAAATCCGTCAGTTTTATGTTAGCGTCTTCATTAATCTATCGTATGAAAACTATCTATGCTTCATAAATCTATGGCTCTCTAGGGTGGAATTCAGCTTAAATTTCACAACTATGATGAACAAATTTGGCTAATCAAAAGCCTAAATTTTGACATTTCGCAAAATGCGATATGCTTACAAAAATACATGCTTCTGATAAGCTTAATTGAGGCATCGTAATTGCGAAATTTTTGCTGAATTTCGCTCTAATGTCAGTAAGGATATGAATTTTTTACAGCCAGATGAGAAAGTTAACAATCAGAAAACTGCATTTGGCATGATGGACATAGAATTGCAAGAAAATCAATAAAAAGGTCAGAATGATATTTCGTCTGACAATTGGAGGGGGTGGATTTTGACGAATTGCAAGAAAAATGACAAGAACCTAAAATGCTATTTTAGGTTCTTGTCATTTTTAATGAGGTGAAAAATTTAAATATCTCTATAAAGTTACGTTCTTCTTTACTGAAATAGTGAAGAAGAGGGGGCCCCAATTAGGCTAAATCGGTCCCTGCACAGGCTATAAGTACACTATCAATAGAGCTCTGACTACTATTTACATTGTGAGATTAAATTTGGATTAGCCAAGTCAAAACCCAGATTTTAGCATAAAATTATGCTGTAAATATGGTTGAAACTTACCATACGCAGAAGCTCTTCAGCATTTTTAAGTAGAGCCCCAGTCAAAATAATTACTAAACTTGTTCCGTCTCCAACTTCTCTTTCTTGCATGTCTGATGCATGGACTACCAACTTTGCAGCAGGATGCTGAATCTAGAATTTGATAAGAAACATTAAAACTAAGTAATAAAACTAATAATAATAAAAAATACAATGCTTAAAATAACTTTAGACTGCAAATATGTGTCCAACAGTACCACTTAATGCATAAAATTGCAGCTAATTTCACAGCATTTATATTTAATACAACTGTTTATCCTATAGTTTTTTGTTGTTTTCTGCATTAAACCCATATTATTAATAGATGAAACTTCAATATTTTAGAAAAGAAAATTTAAATAAATACAGCAATATACTCTAAATGAGATTAATATTCATAGCAGCTAACATATGAAATTTTGGTACAATGTCTTTTTTTTAAAATGGTAGTAAAATAACAAACATGGTACAGAAGTAACAATTAAAACAATAGTACCAAGTTCCATATGCATGTTTTCATTTTCCAAAAGACTAAAATAAATGAAGAAATTAAGTCTGTTATGTTAAAAAAAAGTATTAATAAAAAAAATATTTCTTCTTGCCTCTTTTCCCATAGCTAAACATTTAGTTGCAGGAATGGAACAGCCTATTTCAAAATTTCATTTACTATCATCAATGTAACTAGATCATTATTAATATAAACACGTCATCATCAATATTACGTATATAACCTCAACAATCACAACATGTTCTATATGGTTTGTGGGACCTGTTTGCTCTTTGGATGAAAAATTTCCATCTGACATGTCTTTTGATCTTGATTACATGACCTAATATATTAATTACAAAACAATTTGAGCTGATTTTCTTTTAAAAACACAACACTGCTTTCTGATCTGCAGTTTTATTTCCACATGGTTTTCCAAATTGTGATAGTCTCAAATTATTTATCATAGACAGCATATTACATGCTTACGTAGGAAACATTACACATAGAAAACTTTTAATAGCATCTATTAGTTATTAATAATGAAAACATTCTAAAAACTGTTCGAGGCTTGCTAACGCTTTTAAACATAAAAATATATGATAGTTTGTTATTTTTACTGATGATTGATAATATTTTTACTTTATATTGAGTTAGAGCTCCTACTTAATTTCAGAAGAATTATTGCCTGATTTCAGGAACATTTCAATGTTAATCCAGACCAAATTTTATCTTGACTCTGCAATTTTTCTTTGGAAAACTCTGATCTTCTAAATTTTTCTTTTAAAATTTGTAATGTCAAATATTAGATTTTGTTAGAAAAAAAAATCATTGAATGAGGATGGAAATGGAATTTTTACAATTAATTGTTATAGATGAAAGAATTATTTGAATTTAATTAATTTAAATCTGAATACCGTTACTGACAATTCTAGGACTATAGGGGAAAGATTAAGAATTTTTCAGCTTCTTGAAAATAAAAAATCCAACTTTCCTTGCTTTTTAGAGTCAAAATAAAATTCCATGACCAATGGGAGTATATGTTTTTGCACTAGATTAGTAAATCTAGTGTGTTTTTGTATTCTCTATAATGAGTCATAAGAATTAAATAATTTTTTTGTATTTATATTAATTTGCAACCTCTAATATTTTATAGCTTTTTTTAATGGTTTGAAAAATTATGTTATAATCTTTGGAAAAATTCTACTTTGCACAAAAAGGAATGGATATTCCCAGTCTAATTTATGATATATTTAAAAAAATCTGTTTAAAAAAACTTAACACTGAACATGTATAATTTTTTTAATAAACCTATTAAAATTTTTATTTTACTTATGTTCACATTTTTAATAATTTAATTGTGCTTAACATTTTTAATTATTTTATCTGTTTCAATTTACATGAATAGCTGCAACAACATTTCTGTCTCTTAACTAATTTTAATTAACAAACTAATTAATATCAACTAATTTAATTAATTACAAATAAATGAAATGATAAATTTGACAAAAAGCAAGTTAAAAGTTGAATTATTAAGATTAATGGGGAAGGCCATAATTGTAAAATCTTTTGAAACCACACAGTGATACAAAACTTAGAATCTATCTCTAATTTTTTTAAATTTTACCTAGCTTTAAACTAAAAATCGATAATGGTACAGTAGGGAACCGATTATCCGGAACGGTCGGGACCATCGCTATTCCGGATAACTGATTTTTCCGGTTTTCTGAATCGCTACAAAAAACCGTTTTTTTTATTGTTAAACCCAACTTAAAAAAAAAAGTATTTGAAAATAATCTTAAAAAGAAGAAAAAACGATTAAGTAATACACTAATGATTATTTCCAAAATGATGGTAAGGTAAAAATCTTTCAAAAAGAAAGAAAAATCCTGAAATCTTATGAGGAAAAAAAATCTTTTTTTTAAAAAAAATGGCGAGAAAATGTATAAAATTTCGTTCCGGTTTTTTGGTTTTCCGGTTTTCTGATTTCCTCATAACGGGTCCTGTACTGTATATCAATTCGACTATTTTCTATTTAAACTAGGCTTTTTATGTATTTATTAAACAAAAAACATATGCCCATTCAGTTTCAATGGAAAACATGTTAGAGTTTGATTCTATCCTACTGTTGGGGGAGGTTTTGCTGGTAACATAGGAGTAACCTTATTTATAACATTGTTTTGTTAGAGTCTCACTTTACCATCAATAGTATCTACATATTAACTGAACTTATTATTCATTTAAAATATTAATTTTTTATTATCAAATTATCAAGCAAGATGAAAGGCACAGGGAAAGAAGAAAAAAAACATTCAATAAATATTTAAATAAAGATTTTTTGAATTTTAGGAAAAATGTTTTAAAATAGGCAAAAACTAGAATAATACTTGATTGAATCAAGGAATATAGCTAAATCCAATAGAATTGACAGCTATGAATAGATAATAACAGAAAAAATACACTTAGAATTTAGATATTAGTGCTATTGTTAAATCTGAATATCATGCAAATAAAATGTAATTAAATTTATCCAAGAATTTTTTTTTCAACAATAAAGAATACTAAATTTAAAGTGTATAAAATTTTTCAACCTACTTCTAATTCATTCATTATTACAGCAGCATCACTAGTAACAAACATTTTTTCAAGGTGATTTATGATGAGTTTATTCATACCTAAAATATTAAAAAAAAAAAAAAAGAAGTTTTATACAATACTTTTGAACTGAGTAAAACTAATTTTATTTTGTAGTTCTGGCTAAATAAAATTTAAAAAAAAAACTCAAAATTAATAACTAATTACTGTTTAATGTATTGAAAATAAATTCCTGGATTATGATGCGGTGAAAATTAATTTTCAAAAGTAAAAAATATTTTTACTTTCTTATTATATTTAATACACAAATATTCAATGTGCACAAAAAAAAAGTTTGAAAAGATCCAACCTTTAGTACTAAATTTGTATTTCTAAAATCAGATTTCTTTTAAAAATAAATATAATGAAAAAATTGAGAAAATTTTAAATTTTATAAAAACCAACCAACAACTAAATATACCAAAAAAAAAAAATTAATAATAAATAAATTCATGAACAGATTATGAATTAGATTATAGATAATTTACCATAGGGACCATAAGTTGTTTTTAAAGTATCTGCCAGCTGGACACAAGCTTCTATGTTACGACAAATTGCTTCTTCTACTCCTTGAAAATACTGGAAAAAAAAAGAACAGGACAGGTAAGTTTCAACAAAATCAAATCTGGCACTATCAAATTACAACTGACACTTGTAGTTCAAACCGACATTGTTCTAAAATGCAACTTTAAGGATCAAAATCCCACTATTCTAAATTACCTGTTTTACCTTACAGGAAAAAAGTGACAGTAAAAGAAATAAAAGTCTATAAGAAACGCTATGTTATAATGTTGTGCTATAATTAGAACAGAAAAACAAAACAAAGTAAAAGAAATTCTCAATTCTAGAAAAAAAGAAATAATGATGAAATAAATTTGCTTGAATATAATTAAAGAAAAAAAAATCTGCAAACTAAAGATTCAGTATAGGGTTATCCAGTTCCAATCTTTCCAAATTTAGTTTTCCCACAAGTCTATCACTACATACATTAACAAGTTTTAGAATTTAACAAATATGAGTACAAAATATTTCTAATGTGTTGTAAAAAATAAGATTACAAATTATTCTTTGTTAAATCTATTCAAATCCCCCCCCCCAAAAAAAAACTGTCTAAAAATATCTTCCAAAAATTACTTTGCCGAATAATCGGAAAAAGGTCGAATACTGAATAGTGGCTGGACATTTGTTACATCTGTAATATGCAATACTGCTGTATTAGTTGATTGGTTAGCTTTATGAGCAACACACCTTTTCTAACAACACTGCTGTCAGACTGACTATTCAGTTTGCTTCGCACTTAAGATTTTGCACTGCACACTTACCTTGTTTACAACACTTTTACCATGCCATGTGATGTAAAATATTTCTAAATGAATTTCCTTTTTTATATTTGATGGATAAAATAATTCAATTACAGTGAAACCTCCGTTAAGCGGACATTCATAAGACCAAAAAATTTGTCCGTTTATGAGAGTTGTCCGTTTACGGGAAGGGTACCCTAATAAAGAAATTTAACACCGTAAATTGTTTTTAGAATATTCTCAAAGATGTAGAAATAATTAAATATTATCTACAAGGATACTGTAAATATCTACAAGAATATTTATTTAAACAATAAGAAAGATAAAAAAGAATATATAAAGAAGTTTAATATAAATACATAATTCTGGATGTAGCTACAGATAAATAAATATAATTTTCCTATTAGCATAGATACTCAACAGGGGTCTGTCCAGGCAGAATTTACTACCGTTTAGCGGTACCTTCACAAATTCAACTTTAGGAAAAACGGTAGTTTCACAAATCCAATTTTAGGAAGATTGGTAGTTTCACAAAATACTTTATCTTAAAATTTTATTTTTGTATCCTTTAAAAAACGATAAATCCATATTTTTACAATATTTTTGTGCGATTTTTAAACACAATTTTTTATTTTTCACAAATTATGTCTAAATTTTCACAAAATAGGTACCTTTCAGAAAAACCAGACAGACCTCTGCTCAAGTTAGGCATATGATACCAAATAGGAGCGTACTATCCTCAGTCCATTTCAATTATTAGGTTTACATCCCCTTACTTATCATTTGATACGGAACATGGTTAATACCCCTTTGGAAAATAAACCTCCCATGATTCACAGAAAAAAAAGTAATGCATACCTGTAAGTCATGAGGACCTATGGAGATGATTATTCACAATTGATCAGCTATCAAGTGTCTGAATAAATGTTTCATTTATATAAACACCTCAAAGATTATACTTCTGTTCTCTTTTTTTT